ACGCACCTAGTCCGAAGTCGTCTGCCATAGTAATTGTCATGATTCCCAGCATCTGACAGTGGACTTGATAGATTCGCAAACGTTTCGCCGGCCTCGTAATCGGCATCATCAGTGAGTTTTGCCATTCGCCGCACCAAGCTACGAACTCGTCTTGTCTCTTTGACGAGTTCGTAGCTTGGTTCGGCGAATGGCAAAACTCACTGATGATGCTGACTACGATGCCGGCGAAGAGTTTGATAATGTACCAAGTCCACTGTCTGATGCTGGGAATCATGACAACTACTATGGCAGACGGCTTTGGACTAGGTGCGTTCTACTAAGTCCCCTTGACAACAAGACCAAGTTGCGACAATGAAGTCAACCCACTTCTTAAGGCTATCGTTTTCTTGGTTATAGTGTAGCGAGAAGACAATTTACAAGAAGTTGAACCATACGTACATTGTACGCGCACTCACACTCGTCCAATAAGTTGCATTAAGCTCATCAACCAAACCAGACGTACGAGATTACATAGCCCCAGTCATGCCTTTCCTTGAGTGGTTAAACGTTGATGATCCTAGACTGGGTTAGGACAGGTGGTTTCGTAACTTGACTCACATACTTACAAGCTTACATCTCATTATCTCAACTATACTAACGGACTTACGCAGTCTCGGTCAGGGCTTTTTCTTGGGTCAGTAAGCCTTGATGACCAAAGGCTGACATTAGCCCTTTTTTGATCACTCTGATTTAGGACCGATATTGCATAAAATAGTAACATACATATAAATATACATATACACATACACGCACAAGCACGAGAAACAGTAGCATGAAAGGTAACTAGCCCAACCATTCTATATCTATCTATACCTATGCATTCGCGTTGTTTAGCTATGAGTATATATAAGAAGTAAGCTATAACGAGATAGTCTTCTTGACCTAGTGTTAACGTGAGACTTTTACAAGAATGAGTCCCAGCTCTGATTATGTCCATCACATGATGAACGAAAGCTCAGAGCGCTTTCAACCGGAACGAGGGAGTATGTCTGGCGGACTGCGTCAACCTAAACGTCGTATTAATGCCGAATGGCTGCAGTACAATGAGAATCAGCCGTCGCCTTCTGATGAGATCAACCTACATTAATTCATGTACAATCATGCGAAATGAAGATCTCTCAAGAATCTTATCCCAAGAGATTCAGTCAAATCAACTTACTCTTCATATCTATAATAAACCAATTACCTATTGTGTGTGTTTGTGTGTGTATGTGTGTAAACTCCTG